CGACAACTATCGATGCGGAAGGCGCCAACATCGGCGCGCTGATCGTGCCGCCAATCAACGGGGAAGGGCGCAATCCCACTCCGACGCCACTGCCCACGTTCGATGGGGGGACCCGATCGGGTGGTTAGCTCGGGTGGAGCAGCAGTTCGAGCTACAGGCGATCTTACCGAAACAAAAAGTGGCTGCCGCTATGGTAGCCATGGAAGGAGGAGCGCTTTACTGGATTACATGGCTGAGATCACGCAAACCAAATATACGCTGGGAAGAATTCAAACAAGCCCTGGTTACTAGATTCGATTCCCGATACCAGGGAAACCGGTTTGAACGTCTATCTGGAGTCAAGCAGTACGGAACTGTAGAAGATTACAATACCCTTTTTGTCCAATTAGCAAGCCAAGTTCCGGGATTATTGGACGAACACTATATGGGGTATTATATGAACGGGCTTAAAGAAGCAATTAAATGTTCGCTGCGTTTACTTCGTCCGGATTGTTTGGAAACGGCTATGGAGTTGGCCCTAAGAGTTGAACATAAACTGATCATTCAGAGTGGAGGAAAAGGAGGACCGAATTACAATACTACTGGATCACGAAATAGCAGTTATCCGCGGCCAAACCCGGGTTCCCTCTCGACCACAACCAGTGGCAGCATGCGTAATTATGGGGGCAACGTGTCACGGGCAGTTGGACCGATAGCGGGGTCCACACCGCCAGTCACCGGGACCACTTCCGGGACATCTGGGCAGCCCACAGAACGTTCCAGATTCACTCGAATACCCATTTATACCCCCAAGGGTTTACGATGATTTACGCGCCAGAGGACTTTGCTTCAAATGTCGGAAGCCCTACTCACCAGGACACGAATGCCCATTAAAACAATTAAGGGTGGTACTAGTGGACGAAGACGAAGAGTTGGACTTACAACAACATGATTATTGCGACATAACGGGGCAGGAGGAATTCCCACTAGACGATGACCCTCCTGAGGGTCAGGATGGAGATTTTCCGGTCTATGCTCTGGCCGGAATTTTCAGCCCCCAGACTATGAGGCTCCGCGGAGCAATTGGGGGGTGCACAGCCACAATATTAATTGACAGCGGTGCCAATCATAATTTTGTATCTTCTTCTTTGGTATCTCTGTTACGCCTTAAAAAAGATAAGACTGGAAAGTTCGGAGTACAATTGGGGGATGGACACCGACAAGAATCCGAAGGAGTATGCTGTCAACTATCCATAAACTTACCAGGATGTGCTATCAAAACGGATTGTTTTGTCTTTCCAGTGGCTGGAGTGGATATTATACTGGGAGTGGCTTGGTTAGCAACATTGGGGGAAGTGCGAACCAATTGGAAGGATTTGACCATGCAGTTCAAACTTAATGGCAAGCAAGTAGAGTTGAAGGGTGACCCAGCAATGAGCAAGAAGGCAGCCAGTTTACGAACTCTCCTTAAAACAACCGATGGGGAGTTTAGTGCAGTTGTCCTCGTCAGGGAGACCGACAAGATAGCAGGGGCAACGATGGGATCATTGGAGGATATTCTCGGCCGACATCCGGAAGTGTTCACCGAATTACAAGGGCTACCAACGTGTCGCATTAGGGACCACCGCATCGAGTTGGTTTCCGGGGCAAAACCAGTTTCGGTTCGACCCTATCGATACGGTCATCTACAAAAGGATGAAATCGAGAGATTGGTTGATGAGATGCTTCAGGTTGGCATCATTCAACCCAGTTCTAGTCCATTCTCCAGTCCGGTGTTGTTAGTAAAAAAGAAGGATGGCAATTGGCGATTTTGTGTGGATTACAAGGAGCTAAACAAGTCAACCATACCAGATAAGTACCCTATTCCGGTAGTTCAAGAGATGTTGGATGAGCTGGCAGGAGCTGTGGTATTTTCTAAAATTGATTTACGTTCGGGCTATCATCAGATTAGGGTGGCAAAACCGGATATCCATAAGACCGCTTTTCGTACCCACAGCGGGCATTATGAATTTCTGGTAATTGGCGATTTTGTGTGGATTACAAGGAGCTAAACAAGTCAACCATACCAGATAAGTACCCTATTCCGGTAGTTCAAGAGATGTTGGATGAGCTGGCAGGAGCTGTGGTATTTTCTAAAATTGATTTACGTTCGGGCTATCATCAGATTAGGGTGGCAAAACCGGATATCCATAAGACCGCTTTTCATACCCACAGCGGGCATTATGAATTTCTGGTAATGCCATTCGGGTTGACTAACGCACCGGCCACTTTTCAAGCGGTCATGAATGACTTGTTTCGACCATACTTACGAAAATTCGTATTGGTATTTTTTGATGATATTTTGGTGTACAGCAAGTCATGGGCCGAGCACCGAATGCAGTTGGATCAAGTGTTAGGTATCCTAAAAATGAACCAGTTCAGAGCAAAAAAGAAGAAGTGTAGTTTTGGCCAGTCTCAGGTGGAATATGATAGGTACCTGGCGGAGATCTGAGTGTAAACAGTAAAGAGCAAACACCGATGTAATAAACGTAATAGGGGAATGATATATTGATGATAAGGGTGGACAGTAGATACAACCGACTTAGGCAACAGGGACTCTCAAGGCAACCGTACATCAAAACAATAGTCTGCCCTAATAAGCTATGCCCTCTTTCTATTTATAGTAAAAACATCCACGCAGGGATAAAAAAGGCTAAAAGGGCTACTGGGCTTGTTATTAATTAATGGACTCCCTATTTCTCCTCCTGTAAACTTTGTTAAAATACTGGATAGGCCCCTTAGTCCCATCAATACTCCCCCCTGAAAATTCACCTTGTCCCCAAGGTGAAAATCAGGAAATTGCTCTGTTATTGCTTGAAGGGACTCCCATGATTCTTCAAACTGTGGCAGGTCTTTCCAGTGCACTAACACCTCCATCTTCCCCTCCTTATTCCTTCTAGTATCCAGGATCTTTTCAGGCCACACCTGCAACTCCCATTCTTCATTCAAGCACTTAGGTAAAGGTTGATATACAGTTGTAGGTGTGATGGCTTTCTTCAGCAGTGAAATGTGAAAGACTGGATGGACCTTGCTTTCTGCAGGCAGCTTGAGTTTAATGGCTACTGACCCAATCTTCTCCAGCACCTCAAATGGGCCATAGTATCTGGGACTGAGTTTTTGATTTAGCCTCTTGGCTAATGTTCTGAGTTTGTAAGGTTGGATTTTTAAGTAAACCATGTCACCCACTTGCAGCAACACTTCCCTCCTGTGCTTGTCAGCCTGCTGCTTCATTTGGTTCTGGGCTTTCACCAAATTATCCTTCAGTTCCCTTATCATTTCATTCCTGCTAGCAGTCAATTTAGATACCTCTTCCACTGCAGTCATAGTTGTATCCCCCCTGATCACAGCAGGTGGGTCCTGCCCATATAGGGCCTTGTAGGGAGTCATCTTCATGGAGGTGTGGTAATTAGTGTTGTACCAGAACTCAGCCCATGCCAGCCACTGTACCCATTGCCTAGGCTTCCTACCCGTCAGACACCTTAGGTAAGTTTCAAGGCATCTGTTTACCACCTCCGTTTGACCATCAGTCTGAGGGTGGTAAGCAGTGCTATACTTGAGTTGAGTTCCAGCCATTTTGAACAGCTCAGACCAAAACGTGCTCAGGAAGATGCTGTCTCTATCACTCACAATTGTTTTAGGGAATCCATGCAACCTTACAATTTCCTTAGTGAAGATATCAGCCACTTCCTTGGCATTATATGGGTGTGAAAGGGCCAGAAAATGCGCAGATTTGGTTAATCTATCCACAATAACCAGAATGGTGTCCTTCCCCTGTGACTTTGGCAATCCCCCAATGAAATCCATGCTAATATCAGTCCATATGCTCTGAGGTATGGGCAAGGGTTGTAGTAAACCACCTGGTTTCAAAGCTTGGTATTTGTTGGTCTGGCAGACAGCACACTCCCCCACAAATCTCTGAATGTCTTTCCTCATACCCTGCCAATAAAATAGATTAGAAATCCTCTTCATTGTTCTGAAATATCCTGAGTGACCTCCTATTGCTGAGCTGTGGTATTCATTCAGGATTTTGGTCACTCTGGGGGAGTTCTTAGGTAGCATCAGTTTCTTCTTGTAGTACAATAAGCCTTTTATGATCTGAAATTCAGAATACTTATCTGGGTGGGAGATAATGTTCTGAATTAGGGCCTGGCATTTCGGATCTACTCCTCTTCCAGTCCCTCCCACTCCTGGCAAGTGACAACTGACAAGGAATTTAGGGTAGGCCTCCTAGATAAGGAATCAGCAGCTCTGTTCTCCACTCCGGGTTTGTATTTGATGGTAAAGTTATAACCTAGGAGCTTTGAAGTCCACTTTTGTTGCTCTTCTCCCATTAATCTTTGTTCTGTAAGAAACCTTAAACTCTTTTGATCAGTATGTATCACAAAGGTCCTCCCTAGCAGATAGGGTCTCCACAGCTAGTACAATGGCCATTAACTCCCTCTCATAGACCGATTTGTTTTGGTTTCTTTTGGACAGTTCCTTGCTCATATAGGCCAGGGGTCTTCCCCCTTGCATCAGGACAGCACCTAAACCGGTTCCTGAAGCATCTGTCTCCAGTATGAATTTCATTGTTGAAATCTGGTATAGCAAGCACAGGCAAGGTTGTCATGATTCTCTTTAGTTCCTCAAAGGCCTGGGTGGCTGCAGGACCCCATTGAAAACAATCCTTCTTCAAGAGTTGGGTTAGGGGCAGGACAATTTTGCTATACCCCTTCACAAATCGTCAGTAGTACCCTGTTAACCCAAGGAATCCCCTCAGCCCCTTCAAATCTCTAGGCTCTGGCCATAGGGTCATGGCCTCTATTTTGGTAGGATCTGCAGCAACCCCATCTTCAGATATTATGTGCCCTAGGTAGGTTAGCTGTGATTGCCCAAATGTGCATTTCTTGAGGTTTATGACAAGCTGATTCTCCCTGAGAGCTCCCAGTACACTCCTCAGATTATCCTGATGATCATCCTTAGCATGCTTGTCACGGCGGTAAGTCGAGTCGCGGCGCCAGCTGACCGCCATATCGCCTAGGCGACAAGGCGCCCGCCTAGGCGACAATTAGGCGAGTAGTCGCCTATATGTATATATTATATTATATATTATATATATAATTATATATTTACATATATAATTATATATTTAATTATATATTATGTATAATATATTACTAACTAAAACACATATAACTTAGAATTGAAATCCACAATTAATAATTAAAAACAAGGTTTATTAATGGGAATTAAGATTAAAAATGTATATCTCAAATAAGCAGTGTAAAGATCAAACTACTAATTTATCAAAAATCATCAAGGACTAAATCATCTCTACGGCCTTCATTGCCCTGATCATCATAATCATGAGTAGGAGTGGGTGGTGTTTGGCCATAGTCATCTTCAACATCTTCATCATCATTTGGAAAACTTTCTTCCTCGTTGTTCATGTCTTCATCAATCAACCTTAATGAAGAATTTGAACCACGGCGTCGAGAATAAACCGATTCTCCACGAGAGCTACTAGTCCTAGGAAGATTACGACCTTGAAGATTGCTTGATGCACCCATAACTTCATCAACTTGACTCCAAAGAAGATCATCACCAGGATGAACAACGTCATTGCTGACCCATTCATTGTTCCATTGGAAATCTTCATATATTAAAGGGTTGAAGTTTGTTCCTTCTTCACGCCGCTTCTGAAATCTGGTCGCTATCTTCCGATTATATTGAATAAAAACCAAGTCATTCAACCTCTTATGCTCCAACCTGTTTCTTCTTTTTGTATGAATCTAAAATAAAGATTAAAAACATATTTGATAAGTGTTTTGATTTAATTAGTTAAAATCTTGTGTAATTTAAAAATTGTAGTTAGTATTCAAAATTGTAAGTCTATTACTTACAAACTCAAAAGTGCTCCAATTACGCTCACAGCCAGAAGAGGTACAACAGAGACCAACTATGCGTTTTGCGAACGATTGCAGCCCAACAGCGAGTCCACCAAAAGCATCCCACCAATCAACTTTAAATTAATCACAAATAAAATATTAATTAATTTTTAATATGTTTAAAGTTTAAACTAATTTTCAAATATATAAAAAGTATGACTTACGAGGACTCTTAGATTTTTGTTGCTTAATCGCGAGTTGCTTTGCAAAACTTGCTCTCAATTTGTCATAATCTGTCGCTTGATCACTTATCTTGGCCTGCAATGTTTCATCAGTGACCATCTTTTCAAGCACATCGTTAAACATTGATCGTTGCCTTGATGCTGATGTGGGATCAGTCTGTTTGAGATCAAAATATTTAGACGGATTTAAAAATAAAGCTGCCCCGTATAATTTGACCTCCATCTGGACTTCCCATCGTGTCTCAATGATCCCAACTAGGCTTCTCAAAACTCTAGCCTTATTTTCAAATGACTCACTGATTTTTTTCTTGGCACAATCCATGGCTAGTGAAAGCTCTGGCATAGCTGGTTGCTCGTCAGCATCAACTATCCTCAAGACAACTAAAAGCGGCTGTGAAGCTCGTATGCAGTCTTCCACTGCACTCCAGAATCTAGTAGACAACACAATCTCACTAACCCTCTTTCATGCTTCTGTGGCAGCCAATTTAGATCTACCCCAATCCAGACCGCTAAATTGATTTCTCAATGCTTCTCTGTGTTTATATAGAGATTGCAAAGTGAGAAACGCTGTTGCAAATCTAGTAACTCCAGGTCTTACAAGATCCTTCCCACCCGTCTTTTGTCTCACTGAATGGAGGATTCTCGTGTGCCGATAAATGAAAGTAGTCACACGTCTTGCTTTTTCAATGTGGGGCTTGAACTCGGCTAATTTACCGATATCCTCCAACATCAAATCCAAACAATGTGCAGCGCATGGAGTCCAATAAAGTGTGGGTATCTTGAGCTCTAGAAGTTTTCCCGCAGCCTTATAGTTAGAGCCGTTGTCTGTCACCACTTGCACTACCTTGTCTTTTCCGACTTCTTCAATTTTTTTCTCAAGCAAACCTGCCAGCAATGTTGCATCTTGAGATTCACCTGATGCATCAACCGAGTCTAGGAAAAAAGTGCCTTCTGGACTATTGACAAGGAAATTAATCAAGTGTCGATTCCTTCGGTCAGACATGAGTGTGCACCCATATTCCTTCCAAGCAAGTTCATGTTTTTCTCTGAGCTTCTCTGTATTTTTCTTTGCTTTTTCAAGAAGTGGTACACGCAACTCATGATAGCTAGGAGGTTTAAGTCCTGGTCCAAACTGCCCAATCGACTCCACCATGATCTCATAACTCCTGGAGTTTGCTGCATTAAAGGGAATGCCATTTTCATAAAAAAATCAGAAATGTGCATGAAGACCCTCTCTTTCTCCTCCTTGCTTTTTGTGCATTGTTCTAGTGTAGTTTGGGTGGGGCCTTTCGCATGTCTTTCATCAACAACCTCCTCGGGAGTTTTGCGAATGATGGAGGCAATTGATTTGTTTTGTTTGGGCATTTTTGGTGGGACATTAAAGAATTGCGAAGCAGCATTTTTTCTCTTGGTTGCTGTCCCAGAACTCGGTTGAGAAGTTGAAGTATCTATTTGAGTGAAAGGTACTTCAGCATCATCCTCATCGCCGTCATCTTCAATCTGGATCGGTTTACTCCTGGATTTCCTCATTAAATATGCTCGCATCTCCGTCATAAGTTCTGTTGTCGTATGAGGACATTTAGCAACATCTCCATACCCGCCAGCTAGATGTTGTTTTAATCTCTTTATTCCAGAAGACATTTGTTTATTACAATGCCTACATTGGACTATGTCTTTGTTGTTCAAGTCTGGCCAAAATCCATGATTCCATCCCGGATCATTAGATTTTGCTCTTCTAGCGGGATCATTAGCTGGATCATACACGGTGTCACCTTCATTGTCCGCCATAACTATTGTGTATAAAAAAAGGTTTAAAATAAAATAATGAAAAATTAACTATCCAACTAACAAATAAAAACTAATACAAACAAAAGATTGAACTATACGTATACGTAATTAACTAATTGTATATAAAATATTTTTTGTAATAGTTTAATAGTTTATTATTTTATAACATATAATTAATTAACGGTTTAAATATTTCATAGTTTATTATTAAACTAATACGAGCTCAGTATATGTATTATATGTATATTACATATTTACATATAATAAATTAATGGTTTAAATATTTCATACTTTATAAAATATAAATAACTTGCAAAAAAACATATAAATATATAATAAAAAACCGCAAATTCACAATCAAATTGCAGTTTGTATTACAAAGAATGAGGAAGTCAATTTGCGGTTCTAAAATTTTATTTTTGTTTCCAACTCCCAAGTGGATGAAAAACGATCACATAGAAAAATATCTGACAGATTAAAATGTTTTTAAAACGAGTGTGTTATTTTTAAAAGTATGAGGCAAATACAGTCTGTACTCTGTACCTTATCGGTACAGAAGTTATCTTCTTCTTACAATTTTTTTTATAGATAAAAATTGCTCATCATATATATGATTAGATAAGAAATCGTTACTCAACTGGACTGGTGGTCGGCTGGTCGTATGCTTCAACCTTCAACGACGGACTGGGAGGTGCCTATGGCTATGGCTTGACCGGCGACTTCTTCTTCCCTCTGAAGTCAATCGTTGCTTCTGTGACTTGTGAGTTAATCGATGGCTTCGGGCTATGTATTTAATTAGAAGGCCACCGCCTTAAGGTAAAACCTTAATTAAATGTATTTCCTAAAAAAAAATTAAACCTTAATATGCTTTTGGGCCTGCGGACGACTTTCGACTGGGCTAAAATAGGCGGCCACAAGTCAAGAAGTTCACGCCAGGACGACGCCTTGGCGACGCCATACGCGACTGGTGAACTTCTGGCGAGTCGATCCCCCAAGTCGATGCCTCTTCATCGCCGCGATGCCTAGTCGGCGCCTAGGCGACGCCTAGTCGGCGCCTAGGCGACGCCTAGTCGACGCCGTGACAAGCATGATCCTTAGTTCTGCTATATACTAAGATGTCATCAAAGAAGACTAAAGCGAATTTTCTGAGAAATGGTTTCAAAACCTGATTCATCAGTGCCTGGAAAGTGGATGGGGCATTTGTGAGGCCAAACGGCATCACCAGGTATTCGTAGTGCCCCTCATGTGTTCGAAAAGCTGTTTTCTGTATGTCTTCTTTCCTCATCCGTATTTGGTGGTACCCAGACTTGAGATCCAACTTAGAAAATATCACAGCTCCTCCCAGTTCATCTAGCAACTCTTCAATAATTGGTATTGGGAACTTGTCAGGTATAGTGATCCTATTGAGGGCCCTATAGTCCCCACAGAACCGCCAGCCCCCATCTTTCTTCTTGGCTAGCAAAACAGGACTACTGTAGGGGCTGTTACTGGGCTGAATAATTCCTTCACTTAACATTCCTTTGATGATCCGTTCAATCTCACTCTTCTGGTACTGTGGGTACCGATAGGGTCTTATGTTTGGGATGGGGGCTCCCTCTTGAATGTGTATGGCATGGTCACAAGCCCTACTAGGCGGAAGATGCTTCATTGGTTGAGAAACTTCTGAGAATTCTGCCAGAATTTGCCCCCAGACTCCTTCCTCCTTCTCCACCTTGGATTCTTCAGCCCTTCCCTCACAGTACACCAAATAGCCATCCCCAGCATCCTGTAAAATTTGGGCCACAGTTTCTAGAGAAACTTCAAGGGAATTTAGGTGAGAATCCCCTTGCACTGTTTGCACCTTATCTGATTCCTTCCATTTAATGCTCTGCTTCTGGAAATTGATCTCCACATCCCCCAAACTAGTAAGCCATTCCATTCCCAAAACAACATCAGTACCCCCCAATTCTAGGATATAAAAATCTTGCTGTATTTCAGTCTCCTGTAAGCATAACTTCATCCCTCCACATCTTCTATTGTTAAGCAGTTGAGCCCCATTACCAATCTGCACTTTATACCCGACAATAATCTCATGAGGTATATTCAATTGACTGACCATCTTCTGGGAGATAAAGTTGTGGGTAGCACCACTATCAATGAGCACCTCTACTCCTCTCTCCCCCCATTTGCCTTTTAAGCATCCTTTTACCTTGAATGCCCTCATAGAGGGTATTCCCTCCTTGCTCATCAGGGACAGCTGCATAGATTTTGACTCCATAATAACCTCCTCCACTTCTGTTGTGTCATGCTCTGTGGTGTCCATCTCTTCTTCACTCTCAGAATCTTCTACCATTATCAATTTGTAATTCTTCATCGGGCATGAATGTTCCTTACTCCATTTTTCACCGCATTTAAAGCAAAGGCCCTTTCTGCTTCTGTCTTGATACTCCTCTTGAGAAAGCTGAGGTGCCACACGCTTGATACTAGAGGGGTTGAATTCAGTTGCCCTTTTCCCCACAGGGTTGAACCAAGGTTGGTTTCCCTTGTGGTCTGCAAATTTTCTTCCAGTATTATATGGCCCTGAACTGCTGGCCTTGGATCTGTACCCTTCTCCCCAGGCTGTTGCCTTATGATTCACAGCTCCCTTTTCCCTTCCAGTAGTTTTCTCTTCAACCTTGCCCTTCTCATAGAGAGCATCATTTTTCTGCTCTATCAAAAGAGCCCTATCCATAATGGCAGACAAGGATCTGGAGTTGCACAGTTTCAGCTCCGCCTTGACCTCATCCTTGAGACCGTTAATGAAGATGCCTCTCAATATTCCCCTGTCAATCTCCCTCTGAGGAGCCATCACCATTTCGAATTCCTCCCTGTAATCTGCCACAGTTCCTGTTTGTTTCAAGCTCAGCATTGGGCCATAGGGGTTCTGTATTAAGTCCGGTTGGAACCTGCGAATCAATGCATCCTTCAGGTTTTCCCAGGTTCTCTCTTCCGCCTGATGCTCCCACCATTGGAACCAATTCAGCGCTTTATCCTCCATTGCCACAACAGATACTTCCACCCTATCCTCTTCTTCAATATTGTTCAGTCTGTAATAACGCTCCATTCTCACGATCCAATTGTATGCACCCTCCCCATTAAACATAGGTAAATCCACCTTCCTCCCCGTTTGAACCTGACGCCTGTGGATGGGAGAATGTATGGAGTTACCTCTGGAGTGAGTGGGTGATCGCGAGCGACGATGGTGAGGGGATGGCGATCTCCCCCTGACATGGCCGCTTCTGTTCTGATGAGCCGCCACCGACGTTGCTATGCTTGTCTGAATCTGGTCATTGATCGTGGCCATGAAATTTGTCATTGCCGTCCTCATCTCCTGCATCTCCCGCTCAAAGGTGTCCATACGCTGCTCCATTCTGAATCTCGTTTTTACCATCCACTTCGAAAACGAGAGCTAGGTTGCAGTCGCTACCTCACAACGATCCGATTCCCAGGAGCAAGTGCTCTGATACCAATGATAGGTACCTGGCGGAGATCTGAGTGTAAACAGTAAAGAGCAAACACCGATGTAATAAACGTAATAGGGGAATGATATATTGATGATAAGGGTGGACAGTAGATACAACCGACTTAGGCAACAGGGACTCTCAAGGCAACCGTACATCAAAACAATAGTCTGCCCTAATAAGCTATGCCCTCTTTCTATTTATAGTAAAAACATCCACGCAGGGATAAAAAAAGCTAAAAGGGCTACTGGGCTTGTTATTAATTAATGGACTCCCTATTTCTCCTCCTGTAAACTTTGTTAAAATACTGGATAGGCCCCTTAGTCCCATCAGAATACCTCAGTCACATCATCTCCCAGGCAGGGGTAGCTATGGATCCAGCCAAAGTTAGTGCAGTGGCAGATTGGCCTCGGCCGAAGACTGCCCGAGAGGTTCGGGGGTTTCTTGGGTTGACTGGTTATTGCAGGAGGTTCGTGAAAAATTATGGACTGATTGCACGTCCGCTTACGGGTCTTTTAAAAAAAGAAGCTTTAACTCGTTTTAAATGGACTGAAGAGGCCGAGAAGGCTTTCCGTTAACTTTAGAAGGCCCTGATCGAGGCACCTGTGCTAGCCATGCCCCAGTTTGACCACCTATTTGTGGTAGAATGTGATGCGTCGGGGACCGGGGTTGGAGCGGTTCTTATGCAGGAACGAAGACCAATTGCTTACTTTAGCAAAACTTTGACAGACCAAACCTTGTCCAAATCAGCCTATGAGAGAGAGATGATGGGTTTGGCATTAGCCGTGCAGCATTGGCGGCCCTACTTGATTGGACGGAAATTCATAGTCCGTACTGATCATCGTAGTCTCAAGCACCTGCTCACTCAGCGCATATCGACTCCGTCTCAGCAAGTTTGGGTGGCAAAGTTGTTAGGTTATGATTTTGAGATCGAATACAAGACCGGTGTTTCTAACAAAGCGGCAACCGCTTTGTCTCGACGAGGAGAGGAAAGTGAATTAGTCGCAATCAGTATTCCCGAATGGATGGGTTTGGCAGACATAGGGGAAGAACAACAAAAGGATGAGGCTTTGCAGAAGATTTGGGAAACTGTGGCTATAGATCCAACAAAGGTGCTCGGTTACGAGGTGATTGAGCAGCGGCTGTTCTACAAAGGCCGCTTGGTGCTGCCCGCGGGTTCCCGATGGATTCCGAAGTTGATAGAAGAATTTCATTCGACGCCTTCAGGAGGTCATGCAGGGGCCTACCAGACTTATAGAAGGCTTGCAATGAATGTCTGCTGGAAGGGGATGTTCAGACAGGTACGAGATTATGTTGCACAATGTTTAGTTTGTCAAAAGGCTAAATACTAGACTTTATCACCCGCGGGGTTACTTCAGCCATTACCTATTCCCAACTTAGTTTGGGAAGATATTTCCATGGATTTCATTATTGGGTTGCCCAAGTCAAAAGGATTTACATCAATTCTAGTGGTGGTAGATAGATTGTCCAAATATGGGCATTTCATTCCTTTAAAATGTCCTATAACAGCCCGCTCAGTGGCTGAGGTTTTTTCTAAAGAGGCGGTAAGGTTGCACGGCATTCCACGCTCAATCGTAAGTGACCGGGACTCACTTTTTGTTAGTGCATTCTGGAAAGAATTATTTAATCTGTCCGGTACACACCTGAAGTTTAGTTCGGCATATCATCCGGAGACCGATGGGCAAACTGAAGTTTTGAACCGGGTGTTGGAAACCTACCTGCGTTGTTTCAC